ATGCAATTCTCACATAAATAAAATAAAATACTTCTATATTTTACCTAAAATCAAAGATAAATCACTATTTCCTTTACAATCTATCTACTATACTTTCAATTACATTTTAGTTAATAACATACTATGTTTTTGGTTTTTTTTTATTTTTATTTTTTTTTAGGGTGAGGCGGTTTGGAGTTTGAACTTTATTTTAAATAATAGTTTGATGTGATAATCTGTTAAATAAGAAAAAAAATATTTTTTATTATAGAATGTAAAAGGTGAATAGTAAAAAAAAATATATTCAAAAGAAACCCCTAAATTTACCTACAAAATGCAGATTGATACATATAAATTGAGTTATAAGAATAGTACAAAATATAATTCTCTTTTTACATAAAGGTAATTTTTTTTAAAAAAAAAATCATATTAAATATAATTTTTTTATTATTTTAAAAATATTTCGAAAGCTCACTCAGGGTATGTTAACATTCTTCCACCATTTTTTTCAATACGATTTTCAATATATATAATATATATTATATTTTATTATTTTACGGAAAATCAATATTCAACATATAATATTATTTTTATATTATATATATAATTCCATATATCTCACGTAGAAAATTATACGTCAAACCAACCACTAAACAAACAAACAACTTCTTATTTAAATTGAGGTATATTTTCCAATTAGTACGTGTAGATAAGTTTCTAGGTGCATGGGTCCCTATGGATGATAGTCATTGATCTAACTTTGACAATGAAATGTAAACATAAATATAAATATAAATATAAATATAAATTATTATTATTATTATTATTATTATTATATTTTTTATAACGTAGGAAGTCGCAGCTGTTACTTAAAAATGTGTACCGGATAAACTTTCGGTCGAACCTGATACCTTGTAAACTAGGCTCGACAGGCAAGTCATACTAAGTGAATTATGTGTGGCAGGTGATCTGAAGCGTCGAAAGTTTAAAGCCATGACTTCACGGTTATACGTCCAACCTAATAATTTATATTTTTTTTTATAAAATATATATAAATTATTATTATTATTATTATTATTATTATTATATGTTGTTGTCCTGTTGCATCCAAAATCTTTGCGGTGAAGATAGGAATATATGGATGCCTGGTTCATTTTAGGCTAAACATATAGCATCATATCCCAAGATTTATATTTTTTTTATAAATAAATATATATATATATATATGATTATGAGTGAGGGTGAGTATATAGTCATATCGTGTATATTTTTTCACATGTTGATATGAATGCAAGATTTTATATGGTAATATATATATATATATATACAATAGTCGCTGGTTTGTTGCGCTATGCCGCTATTATATCTTTTTTTATTGTAGACACAAAAATTTAGAAGGGATATGATTAGTAAATAATTAAGAATGTATTAGTAAAAATAATTTTGGTATAATATAAGTAATTATAAATTAAAATTAATTAATTAATTAATTTAATTAAAATTTTAAAAAAAATAAAATATTTAAAATAAGATTAATGTGTATAATTTTTTTTTTAAATGACAAAATAAGTGGAACGAATGAAAATAAAAAGGTATGCATGATAAATAGGACGAAAGAGGTATAAATTAATTTCAGAAAATACAGAACTTATATCATTATTAGTACAATTGCATTTCAAGATATATTATTTTATTCTTTTACTATGCTAATTGATTATTATTTCAATAATACGGTCACGAAGGAGTAAAATAAATAAATAAGAGTGAATATTCATATGTATTAATTACTTTTATTTTGTATTATTTCAATAATAGTTAATAAAAAACTTAATGACCGAAAAGAATCTATCGAATAAAACAAAGATTAATTTTTCATATAATAAAAAATAATTAAAAATAAAAATAATTAAAAAAATCTCTATCATTAATTTTTATTGTACTATAATAATAAAATAAATTCTACTTAAAAAAAATTAATATTGTTATATAATAGAATTAATAAAATTAATAATGTTGAATGAAATATTTATAACAAAATAAATAATTATATTAATATAGTTTTTTGGAAAAGGGTGAGAAATAAAATAGATTATTGGATAAAGGGTATTAATGTAATTTTATGTAGCCAAAAATTTTTAAGGTATATGTATATTATGGGATATATGTTTACTTATTATATCTATATCTCTATCTATTACTCATTTCGATCGGGTCCTATTTATCTTTTACGTCATTATAGTTAATATTAAAAATATTTTTATATTTGTATAATTATTTTTTTTTTGGTACAAATGTCATTCTATTAGTACTATAAGATACTAATAGAAGTATTTTATTAATTTTTTTAATTTGTATTATATTTTGATATAATAATTAATATTTAAAGATCAACGTACAAAAAGTAAACGTGACCCTTAAACTCGGACGGAAGAAATATTTAGTTTACTATTTTAATTTATCTATAAGAAATACACTGATGCTATATTGAGTAAAAAAAATATTTAAAAAAAAAAAATTTCCACTAATTTTCTACTCCCTCCGTCCCCCAATGTAAGGTTGCCGTTTAGTTTTTGTACGTAAATTTTTGAATATTAGTATTTAATGGATTACAGTAAAAAAGACGAAAATGCCCCTATTAGTATTGTGTAATATAAAAGTAATGACATTTGTGTAATATAGTGTAAGTTGAAAGGGTATTTACTATGTTAGATAGGTAGTACAATTACTAAATTAGGAAATGATAAGCTTGTTTTGGGACGGACGAAAATAAAAAATTGACAACTTTTCAATGAGACAAAGACAGTATATATTACATCATTGCCACTGTGACTACATATTTTTTGTATTCATTATATTTTAATCTAAAAATTATATTTTTAAAATTTATTAAAATTCAAATTATACATTTACAAAAAAAAATTATTTTTTTAAAAATTTTTATATCTAAAAGTTTTGAGTACATTTCTATAAAAGATTAGAAGTACTCCGTCCGTCCCAATACAATATTCTTGTTTATTAATTTTTTTCGTCTCAAAACAATAGTCTTGATTTCATAAATAACCATATCACCGTAAAACTACCCATACTTTTACATTTTTATTACACAATTGTCACTACTTTTTCCACGAAAAAAAAAAAAATCTTTTATTTATTTATTTTTAGCAAGGGAGGATAATGGTAGGGTTGGCTGGATGAGATATATTTTTATATTAAATAATCTTTTTAAAGTTTGTAAATTTTTATATTTTAATATAATTTTTACTTTTTACTGCATACCATTTTTGTTAACTTACAAAAGTACTGTAAACAAAACAAATTCATGCAACAATAAATTGTTACAAAGTCATCTAAATTTATAATACCTAAAAATTTGTATCATAATAAAGACAAATAAAATTATTGAAAAAGGATTAGTATTAATATTTACTTTATATATATATATATATATTCTCCCTCCGTTCCAATACAATAGTATTGTTTACCATTTTTGTCCGTCCTAAAACAATAGTCTTGTTTCCATAAATAACCATATCACCATAAAACTACCTATATTTTTTCATTTTTATTACACAATTGTCATTACTTTTTACACTAATATACTCACCAGGGCAAAAAATTCTTTTATTCATATTTTTTACCAACTACTAATATAATATCAATATTCCTTAAATCTCGTGTTCATCCCATAAGTAAGTATCCATTTGCTTTTTGCACGTAATTTTAAAAATATTAGTATTATATTAAGATATAATAGGAATAAAGTAGAAATAACTCAAATAACCTTACTAGTGTGTGTGATATAAATGTAATGATATTTGTGTATATATTGTAAGTTGTAAGGGTATTTGTAATGTTAGATAGATACTACAGTTATTGAAAAAAATGAATACTTTGTTATGGGACGGACTAAAATGAAAAAATGGATACTTTGTTATGGGACGGGGAATATATTTTTTTCGTGTAGCCGCTATTTTTTTTATCATTTTTTGTCTGTATTATTCAAAAGTAATTTTTTATTATTTTATTGAAAGTAATCATATATTAATATATACTTTTAATTTTTATCTAAATTTCAGATATATCATTTATATATACAATAAAAATGTCAAAATTTTTTTACATATTTTTATTAACTAATAAAATACTATTATTATTTTTTAAATCTATTATAAAAAGTTTTAAAAATAATATTTTGGAGTGGAAAAAATATATAGGAAAAAAAAAAAAAAAAAAAAAAAAAAAAAAAAAAAGCAGCTGTGCATTGGTCACGTGCAACACAAAAAACAAAAACGTGATTGTTTGTAGGATTGGAAGTTGGGACTAAAACTAAAAATACTAGCAGCAAATCAATAAGATTTGGTTCTTTAGTGGATTTTACAGAATATATTTAGGGTGTGTTTGTTTGGGGGTTTGAATTTTGAGTTGGGATTTGAATAGTAAAAATTTTAAATTTGAATAGTTGTATGATGTGATATAAATAGGTAATGATGTGATGTTTTGAATGTAAAATTGATTTTTAGAATAATATAAAAAATGAAAAATAGGTATTTGATTTGATGTTTTTGGGGGGAAAATTTTGGATGAATAGTGGAATTTAATCCAAATCCATCAAACGAACACACCCTTATTATTCAAGTTCTATTTTTTCTCTAAAAAAAATTATATTTAAAATGTTCATCTATTTATATCACATCAAACAACTATTAAAATTCAAATTTTTATTATTTAAAAAATTCAAACCCAAAGTCCCAAACCCACAAACAAACACAGTCGCGAAATATATTATCACAAAAATAATATATATGATTATATTGTCGCAGATTTCTACAATACATAATTATACCATAAAGAATTTTTATTTTTTTTGTCACAAAAATTTGTAACAATCAGACGATTACTTTTCTTTTGTGAATTATTTTTATTATTCAAATTCTTTTTTTTTTCCAAAAAAATATCACATCAAACAATTACTTTTTATTTTATTTTATATTATACTACAAATTTATTTTATATTCAAAATATCACATCAATATCTATTTATATTGCATCAAACAACTATTCAAATTCGGGGGTCGCATAACATAAGTATAGCTATATTCATCGTATATATGAAAAAACTCGGCCATCAACAAAAGATCGCATCAAATACACCAAAAAATCTATGAACGAAAAATCACACAACACAATATCACTCCAAGAACTCTCAAGTTAGAAGTACCTGACAATGAATTACCCGACTTTTCCGGCCATTCCTTCCGGCGAGATTCGACAACAAACTCGCAACTAAGCTTCGCAACCGCCCTTTCCCGATCGTCTCCCACAAATGCTCCGCAGCGGCAGCGCCATCAAGATCACCTTTAAAAACGTCGACAAGAGTAACGCTCAAATCATTCCGAACAATGCAAAGTTTCCCGGAAAGAGGAACGACACCTCTCGCCTCGACGGCCCTCGAGTTCCCCAAATGCGTTCGACTATCGACCCGCTTGCTCCAAGACCCGCTCGTTTTGTCGTAAATCCTAATTTTGCACCCGTCTCTACAATCCAAAGCACAAAGATTTCCGTCGACCACTGCGCAAGGATGCCTCCAACCGGAAACCATTCCGTCGTCAACGCGCTTCCATCGATCGGTTTTGGGATCGTAGACCTCGCCGTGCACCTGCCGATTCGAAGCTACTCCTTTTAGAAACCACTTCCCGTCGTAAACGGTGCCTACGAACGGCACCATCGAAGTGGTCATTTCAGAGATGAACGACCACCGATTCTTGTTCGGGTCGTAAACCTCGGCCGATCTCGACGATCGATTGTTCCAGGCCTCGCTCTCGCCGCCCGCTACGTATAAACAGTTGTTCATCACGCACCAGCTGAAGAACTTCCGGCGCCGGAGCATATCCGGCGCGCGGTGCCACTTGTTCGTCCGGGCGCTGTAGAATACGACGCGTCTTATCGATCCTTTAACCGGATCCTTCCCACCGAACAAGTAGAGGTGACAACCGCCGAGAACCGCACATCCAAATCCGAGCGTTTCGTCGTATTCTTTCGGGATCGGCGGGAGCGGTTGCCAGAGATGATGCATCGGGTCGAAGGCGACCCAGGACAGCTTCCCGTCCCGATCTTGCTTCACGACGTATATCCACTCCTCGGAAATTCCGAGACTCTTGCGCTGAGAGTAGAAGAAATTACCGGCCAGAAGTCGATACCATCTTTTGCAGATGAGGCGGAGCTTCGAATGTTCGATTCTCGGAACGCGGATTAAGCAAGCGATTGCGAGGTCGTCCGGGAGCCCCGGAAGTAACGGAGACTGACTCCTGCTCTGAACGCGCGGCGGCTTTGGCTTGGCTGGATGAATCGAAGGTTTTATATCGGGTTGGAGACAGAGTTTCGACCGGGGGACGTATTTTTTCGCTCCGGCGACGGTTTTCAGGCCGGCATCGACCCTACAAAGGCATGCCGTCGTATCAACCTGCGTACAAAATCATTTTTCTATAACTTCGATAGCATCGAAACGTATAATTTAAACGGTAAAGCAATAGAAGAAAAACAACGAAAAAAACAGGGCGATTCAAGACATACATTATACATACAGATTGTGCAGTTGCCATACGTATAAGAAACCGAATATCGGCTACTTGAACCTATATTCGAATTGTTACCATACACATCTTTTGTCGACAATGTCAGCGCTAAATATCAACATTGTGTCGTTTGTTTTTAGATTTGTAGCGCATACTATTGTGTTTACGGAAAGATTGAATTTCTAATCACGACTAAAAAGGCCCTTTTATCTATAGTTCAATCATACTTCTACACTTCTTTATCGATCTTATATTAACAATCAACAAATTTACAACATAGTTCGACAGATTTTTACCATAACTCAACACATATACTCTTATATGATTCGGAAATTGTTTTATGCAATTCAACAACACATAATCCGAACCCGAAAACTGCTGTGTTCTAAGAAGCTATCAATAATCGACACATAGTCCGGAATGCATCCTTAACAGACTAACAACGAATCGAAATATTTGTTCCATTCCCTATCGAAACAAGTTATGCATTTGATCCTACATTGACAAATCCATCAATTTAGGTTTGTTTCCACAGAATCAACACAGATGAATTCAAATGCTAACCAAAATTTAAACTCAAAATTTAATCATGAATAACTCAAATAAATTGAAATCCATGGAAGAACAAACCAATCAAATTACCAGAGGAGGATGAATCACTCTATCCATTGTTTAGCTGTTCCAATTCCTTCAAGACCACAAGATTTCAAGCTTCAAAACCTAAACACTAAAGATATACATACATACATATATATATGTACATACTTAGCTTCGAAGCTCAAGATCCTCCGAGATAATCTTCAGAGAGAAACATTTACAAGAAATCCCAATCCATACCAAATTAAATTATCGACACAGTAAAATCAGAAATCCAGAAGGAAAAGCTTCAGAGTTCGAGCAAAATACACACAGCCGACGAAACCCTAAATCCCCAAAATTGGAACCAGAAAATTAAAGCAGTGAAGATGAGTGGTAACTGATCTCCTCTTCCTCCTCCTCCTACTCGTCCTCAACTCAAGTTTCCATTGCTCATTTATTACGACTCTCGTCTCCTTCGCACGCCATCGGCGGAAAAATTGGGCCCATACAAAACAAACACGGAAGAGACCTCTGACTGTTGGGCATTTGCAAGAAAATGGAAAGCAAAAAACGACACCCCAACTCGATCGATTCTTTCTACGCATTCAATTCTACACTACACTACACGTCAGGGTTGGACATGGATCTCCGAAACACGAAAATTTAAAGTAAAGATTGAGTCAAAGGAGATAAAATTAAAGGCTATGTTTACATTTTTACGAAGTTTTTGGTATTTTTAATGATAAATTTTCAAAATATATTACATGAGTATCAAAAGTTGGTTTATTATTTTTTAAAAATTACATATTTAGAAATCTTTTTGTAAGATAAAAAAAAATAGAGTTTGGTTGTCCAATTGTTTTTTTTTGGTCTGATACAATTCTATATATATTTATATAATTTACTGCCTTTCCCACGTTGGATGTTTGGGTCACTGTAAACACGAGAATTTAGAATAAATATAATTAACATATAATTAACAATGTATTAGTGAAAATAATTATCTAATAATATAAATAATTATGAATTAAGATTAAGATAACTAATTACTTTAATTAAAATTTAAAAAAAAAAATTTAAAATTTAAAATCAGATTAAAGTGTGTAATCATTTTTCAAAAAACAATGACATGGAATGTGGGACCGACAAAAAGACAATATAGACATAATATGTGGGACGGAGGGAGTATTATATTATTTTCAAGAAAATAAATTTTAATATACTACATATATAAAATATATATTTAAATATAAAATTTTATTTTCTATATTACAGATATAATTTTTTATATTGTATATAAAATAATACTTTATTAAAAGACTAAACATGTTAATGTATACTTCCTATAAAAAAAAAATAACAAAAAATAAAAATTTAATAGTTTTTTATAATACATATACATCGTATTTATAGAAAAAATTATATAAATATAAAAATATTTTTAACTTTATATAATTATTCAAAAAGTAAAATAATAATAGTATTTTTTGATGAGACAAAAATAGCATTATCTTTTTATACGATATAAATTAAAACAATATTTCAATTAAAAATTCAATATCAAATTAAAATCAAACATCTTCACAATATTGCATAGAATTAAACTTCTTTCATCTTAATTCAAAATAAGTTAATTTTTTATAATTTTTGTATGTTTCATACTTTTAATTTATATTTAAATTAAAATATATAATTATAAAATACAATTATTTTATATGTAAAATTAAATGATAAAAATATTAAAATTTTTTACATTGTTTTACTATATTATTATTTTTTAATATAATAAGAACAGTAAAAAGAGAATTTACTCAACGTATCCAACTTATCGTACCGTGTCATATCGAAAATATCGAAAATTTCAGTATACCCAAAATTTTGATACGGTATGAATATCGTACCGAAATTTTTGGTACGGTATCGGTATTACTTTTCGAAAAATTCGGTATTTCGATATGATACTGTACCGATATTATTTTTATTAAATAATTTAATTATTAATATAAATAATAATTATTAATTTTTCTTTTAAATCATAACAAAAAAATATGTAACCTATTGAAAATTTATTGAGTTTTTCATAATATTTTTGTGGTGGAGAATTGTGATATTTATTAAATTTTTTAATTATTTTAAAATTTAAAATTATATTTTCACTATAATCGGTATATACCGGTATCTATCGAAATCAAAATTTTCAGTATAAGCGATATATACCGATATCATATTAAAATTAAAATTTTCGGTATAAACGGTACTATACCAAAATTTTGGTATATCAATACCGGTATACATTTTTATTATACCGAAAAATTTGGTACGGTATCGATATCGACCGATATTTTCGATAAGATACGCTATGTCATCCCTAATAATAATAAAGAGGAGGAGGGACAAAGATTCAACGACATAATTATGGGTCCCATGGATTGCTTACCCTATTTCAACGACTCACTTCAGTTTCAGATATTTTATTTTATTTTATTTTATTTTATGTCATGTCCCCTCGTGATCATTGCTTCATATTCTTTCGACTTGATAAAACCTTTTGAAGACTAAACATTCATGGTGTTTTTATTTTGGGTCCACGTTTGAATGGTTGTATAATATGATATAAATAAATATTGATGCGATATTTTGAATATAAAAATTAATTTTTAGTATAATATTTTTTTCGTTTCAATACAATAGTCTTGTTTACTATTTTTGTTCGTCCCAAAATAATAGTTTCATTTCTATAAATAACTATATCACTATAAAACTATCCGTACTTTTTTATTATTATTACACAATTGTCACTATTTTTTACACTAATACACTCACAAGAGCAAAAAAGTTTTACCAATATTTTTTACCCACTGCCAATATAATATCAATATTTTTTAAATCTTAATCTCGTGCTGAACACAACCCAAACTATAGTTTTGGGACGGAGAGTTTCAAAAAAGAAAAATAGATATTTGATTTGATGTTTTTAGAAAAAATTTTTTTTGATGAATAGTAGAAATTTTAACAAATCCTCCAAACATACACACTTTTAGTTGATCTGATCAAATTAATTTGAATTTAATATTAAATAATATTTTATATAATTTTAAGGGAGTTTTGATTTAAATTCATATTAGATAAAATACATTTAAGTTCAATCTCAATAAGTTATGTCTAAGATATTATATTCTATTTTTGTAAAATATTTGTAAATAGCTTCTTACTACCCATTTTGCTCCTAAAATGATGATTTTATGTAAATGATATATTATATACTTCTGTTAAGTTTACGTAAACATATATTTTTTTAGTTATGTACTCTAAAATTTTCGTGTTATGCAAATTTAATTGCAAAGCAATGTACTTTCACTTATTATTTATATACTATATTCTTCTACAAAAATATCACATAAAAACAACCGAATCTAAATAATACACACGATCTCAATCACTTCTTTTCTTCATAAAAACATTTCTCCTCTCACTTTCAGGTTGTTGCCTCCGATTGTTATCTTTAAAATCATTACCGCCGCTGCATTGGAAATTTTATGAATCAAAGACGAACGAGAGGATAAAACAAAAGTGTACCGTTTGCTCGAAATGTCAAAGAGAGTCTCTCCCAAAAGTAGTTCAAGAATTAAGTTAAAATTTTTGTATTTGGTAAAATCGATATTTTAGTTTCGTGTTTTTTATTTATTTTTTCGATTTATAAAAATTCTGTTTGTTTTTACAGTTTTACAAGTGTGCGTTAATGCCTCCAAATATTTTTTGTTATACTGGGTGTGTTTGTTTGAGAGTTTGGATTTTGGATTGGGATTTGAATAGTAAAGATTTTGAATTTGAATAGTTTTATGATGTGATATAAATAAGAATTGATGTGATGTTTTGAATATAAAATTTAGTTTTAGTATAATATAAAAAAATAAATAATAAATATTTGATTTGATATTTTTTGAAAAATTTTTTTGCTGGAATAGTAGAAATCCCACACAATCCCTCAAACAAACACACCCGTGTGCTCTGATTTTCAATTTACGTTCCTCTACAAGAAAGTTACATAACTATATAGTTATGTCATAAACTTGAATTAGTGTTGTATATACTTTTACAGACTTATGTCTTTATTTTAAATATTGTCAGGTCCAAAGTGAAACACATGATTGTGGGTCACTAGTACGTATGTTCTCCGAGTATGTAACACAAAAACTTAGCCGCTTAGCAGATGAGCTACCAAATTCGAAGATGTCAAAACTTTTTGAACAAAAATTGTTGTGAACATTTATCAGGAAACCCTGAAAAGGTTGTCTAGTGTCAGATTTGTATGTTAATTTTTATGCATAAATTGAGAATCATTGAGGTTTTGAGTATATGGTTATCAAATTGGGGCAGTTAGGCATTGATGTTATGTTTTACCAAAAATTTTAAGGATCATCATAATTTCTAATTTAATGTATGACATATGCGGTTCTCCACAAGTATGAATCTTGGTATTAGAAGTATGTACACACAGAATTAAGAAATATACTTCTTTGCGCAAAGTTTTATTCTTGGTTGTGGAGAAACTCCTAAATTTCAACAACATACCCCCAATGAAGATATATGTTACTCATTTAACTAACTTACATACCTTTGACGCGATTGCATATACTTCTATGAAGGAATAAGCTTTCTAAGTAACTACATACATATTCGACATGTAATGAAAAGATGTGTGCTCACCATATTGTCCTGAAAGCACTTATGAACGCATTTAATGTACACTTCACTGACAAATGCTTACTTATTATGTGAATAGTCCTAATATGTTTCGTATATAATATTTACTTCACATATCTACTAACACAATTGTTTGTTTTGGATATATTTTTTTTCGTCTACAAAATGCTGATATGTTCGAAGCGAATAAACAATGTGGGAACCGAGACATATCTCATTAGTTATGTACTAACTCATCAATATCTCTTACAATGATCTACAATATCATATGTTAGGTCAAATCTACTTTGTGTGACATTCTGATTCACTCTTGAATACATGAAAAAATTATCTCAATGATTGTTTCTATAGTGTTAGTTGATAGACACCAATATTCGATGAAATTGCAATGATCTTCAAACCATAGACGTCTAAGCTAGCCACAATTATGACTGGGTGTCGAGAGACCCTTAAGTGGAAACCACATACCCCAAATGGTGATATTTGTTCATTTATTTCACTAAATTACATACTTTTAAATTGATTAAATATACTCATATTGCAGAATAAGCTTTATAAATAAATTTGATTTATGTTGATATAATTTTATATAAATAATAAGGGTACACTATGAGTCATATTATATTGTAACGAGTACTTAGGGAACATAAATGACCTTAAATATTACGTAGAATTTAATAAAAAAATAATTGTGTAATGTATTATCGTTGTTAATAACTTTTACTTGTGATCATATTTTATATAACTATAATAATACGTAATGTATTTTCTTTGTGAATTCACATACCATTGTCTTATGTTTTGAATGAATTAGTTTAGATTTATATGTACCCCAACAAAATAGTCGTATATATCCAGTAATATACATGAGAATCTCATTAAATTTTCCAATCATTCAATTTTTGTCTCATATACAAATCTACCATCAACGTACAATTTTAAAGAAATAAAAGAAA